CCCCCAAATAAATAAGTAAATAAACATTTAATTATTCTTCAGCTAACAATCATGGTAGAACTTCACGTGCTGCCCCGATCTGGCCAACCTAGACCCAGTCCTGCTGTTCTCTCCTGTGGGGTGACATTAGTCTCTCAAGCCTTTTTCTTCCTGCGTATCTATGTGCCTGTTTCAAACTTCATATTGACTGATCTCTCGTATCAGATTCTGATATCATGAAGTTTGTTAATCTGCTGATCCCAATTAGTTAATATTTTTGCCTTTTAACTGCCACAACTTTTGACTTCGAGTTTGTCCGGTTTCTTATGACAGCTGCCACAGGGGTGTATTACTGCCCCCCCCCCCCCCCCCAGCAGTAGCAGGAAGTTTATGTCTCACATTGTCTTCACAGGGGTTTCATATCCTCGCACCTTGCTGGGCAATGGCTTTGCCTGCAGTGTTTTGTCTCTCTGGACGGGTCAGTCGCCTTCTGTAGATTTCATGGATGACTTGCAGAGTGGAGTGCCCAACCAACCTCCTTTTTTTTGCCTTCATTTGCTGTGTGATGTAGTCCCTTAATAATGGGTTTAGCTGTAGTAGTGTAAATATGTTTAGATACCATCCTTTGCTGGCTTGTGTATCCCCAACATTGTCACACTACCTTTTTGCCATTGAGTTGTTCTGTCCATCCCTAACACTGGGTTGGGCGTGTGAGATCCAGAGGACTTTGTGATGCTTAGAGGCTGAGCTGTGACATCCATCCTGTGCTGGTACGAGAGACCTACCTCTGCCTGGTCTCAGTCTCGCCCAGTGTAGGTGGTGGTGCTGTGGAACATGGGAGAGTCCCTCAAGGTTTTACATCTGGATTAGGGAAGCTGTAGTCACAAGGTGTGTTAATGGTAAGTAATCTGGGGGAATTAGTACATGGTTAATCCCTCTAGTCCTTATGCGTGTGGTGCTACCAGAGGATTACAGAATCGGGCAGCTGAAAGAACATCAGCGAATGCAGCAGGAAGTATGGTGTGTCTAGCAAGATACAGCTGGCAGCTTAGTGCTTAAGGACGTGGATGGTTCTGATCCAATGAGATCCAGAGGAAGGTGATTCTAATATGTGTCCCACAGCTGTATTAGTCTCTGTCACCTGATAAGGAAGACCTGCACTTTTCAAGGCAGGTGGGAATTGTGTGGTTGACCTTCTGGAGCTGCTCAGTCATGTAGTGACCGAAATGGTAACTCTTCCAGTAGGTGAAACATCCACTAACCCTTTCAGAGTTGTTCAAAATGCCCAAGACACAGGTTCAGTTTCTAGGGGATCGAGCATTATGGTAGGAGAGACTTTGATAATGGGGTGACACAACTTATTAATTTAAATACAATGGTCTGTTTCTTGTGGAGCATGAATGGATTCAAATGTAAATGCTGGGGGTACACATCCCCCTCGACCCCCCCCTCCCCCCACCCCTGCCATTTGGGTTGAAAAGCATCCCAGTGATCCGTCGACGCTTTTGCTGTCGTAGAAACTTGCTGAAAAAGGCTGAGAAGTCACAGAACAGTCTGCCATCGCCACCCAGCAAGGCTGCATCTGGTCCAACGGGTTTGTGGGGTTTGTGTGGCTCAGGAGACGCCGTGGGGGCAGGGAATTAGCATTTCCATCCTCCAATGGGAGGAACCGCTATTCACAGAGCGCTGTGTGACCTGCAATATCACGTTGCCGGCATGGATGGCCTCTCCCACACTGTGCTGGGCTGGAAGAAAGGCTGTTCATCCCGGGTACTGGGGGGGATACAATTTGTTATGTTCCTGTTGTTTTGCAGCAGCTGGGAAGCGGCTGTGTGCAGTATGTGTACAAGGTTTTTATTTTTTCTAGAGTATGCATTTTGTTCTGGCTGGGCTGTGACATGCCGAGTGCTTTAGGACTCACGGAGACGGGCAGCCACAGTGGACACCTTTTCGACGCCCCAGGTGACAAGCTTTCTGTGACGCAGCATAGAGGCCAGGCGCTTGCACCAGTTCTGCCCTGGTGTTGGGTGACGATCGGCCTTCGCTATATTTCATTCGCCTGTGGCCTCCAGTCTGCCGTCTGAATTCCCACGCATCTGGTTCCTTGTTTACTGGTAATTTTAAAACTGTGAAAAACCTCTAACCATTATGCAATAGAAATTGGATTTTTCAAACGTAAAATATTTTGTGATTTGCATAAATGATCACTGCTGTGTCAAACTATCGTGCATGACCAGGGTTGTCCTCTTGCACTGTCCTGTGTTTTGCACTTTTATAAATTTTGAATCCCCCCCCCTTTTATTACTATTGCAACTTTTGGTGGCATCAGAGGGGCATGGACACCCTGGCAGATCCAGGGAGCCCAGCACTTGACAGGGACCTTTCAATACATAAAATGAAAAGTGTAAAGCTGGGCAGGGGTGGCAGGGTTGGGGGCAAGGTAGAATTTTGTCAGGGGGCCCATAATTTCTAGGCATGCCCTTGTGGAATGTGGTCCTGAGGGAACATAACCCCCTGCCACTGTACACCAGTGTGACCGTAAAGCCCATTTGACTTGATTTGAGGTCAGTGGCAACTTCTGTAGGTTCAAGTCAAGTTCACAGGCCTGTTTAAGCATCTCGGTAGCAGTAAATTGTGTGTGTGTGTTTGTGTACACAGCAAAAAAATAAATAAATTTCATTTCCCGCAGAAATTCCAGCAGCTTTTTGTATTCCTGGGATTTGTGAAAACGGATCATGTGCTTTAAATAAGTGTCCCATCGGACATTGGGCTGACGGCAGTGGGAAATCACCCGGAGTGTGTTATTAAAGTACTTGGGAATAACCTTAAAATAGATCCATTTACGGCCAGGGAAGGGAAGTGTTTTCCGGTGATGAGCCGATGCTGAAATGCCAGCTTATTTGCTTTATTCCATAACGGGCCATGGACATGGGAGGGGACCCACTGCCTGCTGTATTTATGCTGTATCACATCATCTCCTGGAGCTGCAGGAAGGAGACCCAGGTGCTTGAAAAACCGTATCTCTTTGAAGGGCTGCAATAAATTTTATGTGCAGACATGAATCAGAGGTCTGGCCGTGAGAAGAGGCAATACGGCTCTTATAAATTCAGAGTTTATAATGAAATGCAGGCGAGCAGAACGTGATGGCTGTCTGTAATATCAGAACTCTTTTGAACTCTGAGAGTGACTTTTGGGAGATACACTGATGACTAGATGTTTTTCCTTATTGGTTAGAGTTGAGTTCAAAAGGGGCTATCAATCACACATCTCCTAATCGATACCAGTTATCACAGACTTTTTCTGGAATTCTCTGTGAGACTTTCAGTGATGAACTTCATGGGATCTGCAGACGAGGGGGACAGCTCCAGAACTTTGTGGGGAGATTATCACCTTGTCACCACGCCTTGTGTCTGTACTTGCCTTGTATCAAACCACAAAGAGGGGGCCGCCTCCCATGAACCGGGGACTTGGGAGGTGAACCACCCCAAAAGTGGCCCACGGCTGCACTGGTTCTGATCTGGATGGGATTTGGGCTTCAATCGGAATAAAAGGGCAGGAACATGATGGCCACCTTGCATCACGGCCTCTTGTTAGCGTCAGTATCTAAGCTGTGCAGCCGTAGGGTTTGATTTTATGGGAACTATGCATCTTGAACTTCACCTGTAATCTGCTGTACATTGCTGATTTACTTTTATTTTGACGTCACCGGAATGGGATTGATGCATACTGTCATTGTTGCTTGCTTTCTCCTCTCATCGCTTTGGTTCAGATGTGATCATGTGACAGGGATGATTTGAGAAAGTGGCTAGATTCCTGATCCACAGGGCGGAAGGTGGAATTGCATGAAGGGTAACTCTACTGCTGAAAGTGTACTGCAAAGTAGGTACAGGAGGTCTCCATCAAAAACTCACACAGGTGCTAATGCAACCCCCCTCCCCCCCCCCATTATTTTATTATGTTAAACATTTTGGTTTATCATTGTGACCATAAATATTTTGTTTGAACGTTGCCATTAAGAATTTCAATATTATTACAAGGGGCGGTCTACTGCATAACTTAGTGTGCTGTGGTCTGTCCCATTTGATATTTTTGTAAGGAAATAGTAAACAATACATTTCAAGAAGATTTGTCTTTGTGGGCTTGACAATATTTACATTAGCGACGATTAAACAAAAAGGAAGTGTGTTGCCAGGAAGCGTGTGATTGGGTAGCCTCGTGCGAGTGACAGGGTATGACCCGGTCGCCGTATCTCCCATTGGCTGCCTTGGCATGAGAACAGGCATCTCTAACATAATGTATGGCTAGCATGTCAAACACAGAAAGGAAAGTTTTCTCTCTCTCTCCCTTCCCCCGGCTTTAAAATAAACAGAGGGGTGCCTTCCCAAATTGGGAGCCACCAACCACTGTTCCAAATCGGCCACACGAGACTGACAAGGTCGGGGCTGATGTACATCAATGTTGCCTGTGCATCCGGTGTTTGCGTAGCTGTGCGGTGGTTTACCAAGTCCACCATGGTGCCGGTCACTTTCTCCATTAAAGGGAAGGAGAACGTCTCGTCTCAATACTGACTGAAATGCCCAGGCACTAGGCGGGTATCTGGTCTGCTTTGTCTAGACTGAGCATTTAAAAGACCAATCAAATGCAACCAAAACAGCCAGAGCGGATGGCTTTCAGAGGCAGATGGGTAAATGAGATTAATTTGAATGATGTCTGTTTGAGGAGTAACACTCTGCATCTCTCAGTCTCATATCCTCCAGCATTCGAAGGCAGGGCTGCCTGGTGTGATGACCCAAGTGACCCTCAAACACGATCTGCTTCCTGCCCAGTGCCCGCAATCAATAAGGTTACTGCCCCGTGATTAAAGCCCCCTCCACCCGCCCCAGAAGAGGGGCTGAACGTCAGCCCTGCCCCCGACCCCGGAAAAGAGTACTTGGGACACAAAAGCCCAGGGTGTTATCCGGGGATTAGTGTTGCATTCTTTGTCGGAGCGTGACCCATCCTGCAGGGATGGGGAGACCTCACAGCTATGGAAACGGGCAGCCACACCAGCACGTACGTTTCATACAGAGATGCAACAAGCTGAATTATAATGCCGTTACTATGGTAATTTACTCCATGTGCTGAAATTTGGTTATGGTCACTGTACCTCGCCAGTTTGGACAAGACCACAAACCGAGATGTCAGTCATAGTTTTTTTTTAAAGGATTTTAAAACATTTTAATGTTTTATTTAGATCCTCAGCTTGTCTTTGTTCCTGAATTCTGATTTTTGAGTTCATAAATGGTACGCGGAAATCAAATTAAAACAGAGTGAAAAGAATGAATGATTATTGGTGACCCTAGATGTGCCGTGATTCTGAAGCCCTGATTCTGAAGCCTCCCGGTGCAGATGGTCCTTTCCCAGGCACGAGGTTAAGCTCTATGATAAAAAGTTCATCTGAGCCTTCCAGCAACCCAAACCCTTAATGCCTACAGGTGTTTTGTGCTGCTTGATTGAATTTTCACTGTGGCAAAACAAAACATTTCCTTATGTTCTGGGTTCTGAGTCAACATCTCTGCCACAGCCACCGCGGAGCAGAAGAGCTTGACGTGCTTATCGGTCCTTGCCGTCGGTGTACCCTTTGAACCTCTAATCCCATGCGTAGCACTGGATCCAGCAGACTTGCAGCACCGTGAAAAGCACCTTTCTGCTGACCGGCAGTTGGGCTCAGAGAAACACATCTGTTTTATATGGTGTCCTCCGGGCAAGAAAGGATTTAATCAATGACAGAATTATGTAGGAAATGTATTAAAATGTTATGGGGTCAGTTAAGCTTTGTTTTGTTAAATGATAGTGATGCATTGCAGTGGCAAACTTCTCCTAAATTTTGAAACTTTTCGTTTAACAGGTACCACAGCTCTTTTGAAGGTGTTGTTGGTCAGCTGGGTAGCTGCATGTTTGAGGCCACGCCCAGAAATGGAACCCTGGCCTGTATTGGCCTGGGTCCTGCTCCTGGCTTTCGTTGCTGATTGGGTGAAATCTGTCCAGTCACGGGACTTCACGGTGAAGGACATCGTCTTTCTCCATCCTTCAAGTAAGAACTGAAGTTACCTGAGCTTTGATATCCCGATGCTTTTTTTCCACATGCTGCAACAACATCAACAGATCATGCCTATTAGTGCATCCCTCTGTATGTAGCCTGCATTTAATGCATCATTTCTAAGGCCTTTGCAGGGTCTCCCATCCAGCTGCTTGACTTGGTTTCATGTTGCATTTTCACAAAGCCAGCTGTTTGGAGACATCAGATCCCTGTCACCGTCGAGCTGTCACCCTCTGTTTCTGTGTCGGGGTGATAAAATCACCCCACCTTTAGCCATTGCCGCCGACATTCCGCTGGCTTCCCGCAAAGTTTGCTGGGACACAATCATATCTGCAGAGTCCACTTTTCCAGCCGTTGTTTTGGCTCAGCATGTTGATGTGTGACTAGCAAACAAACTCAGCACCCTCATTCTCATTATTAATGTTCCAGCATCTTCCTCATCTTCTTTTTACACCCTGAAAGGATTATGGGTATTGGGTGGATGCTTTTTGGGAGGGAGAGTCCTCTGGGTGCAAATTACTAGTCGTTCTGTATTGAGGCATAACACTTTCATTGCCCCCCCCCCCTTCCCCCCCAAGCTCAGGATTAATAAGTAAGCTTGAGCTCATTTGCTTTCGGGGTCACTGTTGGGTCAGGGGCTCAGATGGAAAGTTCCCGGAGGCGATCGGTCTCTTTCGGTTACTCCAAGCCACCCCCCCTCACAGCTGCAGCCAAACACCAATGAGAATGTGCGCAGCTTCATTATTCTATTTCTGCTACTATGTTTAAACCACATCCACATCATCTAGTCTGGGACCCCTCTTGTAGCATAATCCTTTGATGGCACCGCTAGTTACTGCTGTCGCACCGTAAAAATGTGAATATGAGGGTGGCTTGTTTGAACAAAGCATATCACTGATTTATAACTATCCTCTTCCAGATATGTAATGTGTTATGAGCCACAGTAAGGCTCTGTGACAGAGCTGGGTGCTCATCCTAAATACCCTAAAAGACTGATCCCCGTGGAGGACCTTGGACATTGTTTCAATAAAAACAGAAGAGTCGGAGGGCGATGCTGGGCTGGGGTGGGGGGCAGAGCCACGGTCGGGTGACCCCCCCCCCGACCCACAGCTGATGGAGCTAAAGGGAGGCGCTAATGAGGTCTTTTTAAGAGGGCTAGATGGGCGAGGCGAATCTGACCTGCCGTTCAGCCACGACGCGGCGCTAATCGACACGCTGCCTGCATTGACAGCTGCAGCAGCGCGCTGCTCGTTCTGTATGCGGGTTTGGTCATGACACTGTGTTTAATGTGTAGCTCAGGAATGCTCAGTGTCCACTGGAGGCTATTTATTCACATTAATTTCATTCAACATCCGTTTGTATATGTGCAGGGTTTCATACGCTGGCCTGACTTCCTGCTTTCTTTTTGATCCCCATAGCAACTCCCTATCCAGGGGGATTCAAGTGCTTCACATGTGAGAATGCACCGGATAACTACGAATGCAACCGCTACGCCCCAGACGTCTACTGTCCACGAGGTACGCCCCCGCCCCGCCCCGCCCCCTCATCTCCCTCACAAACGGGAAAAAATCTGCCACACAGCATTGGTCTTCAAAGCTCCCAGTTACTTTTGTCCAGAAAACAGACGTTCCCCTATTATACCAGTACTCCTAATTCATCCCAAGTATTTTAATTTGAATACATTTAATTTAAAATTATGTGATCCCACTGCTCCAAACTATTTAAAAAGCTTTTCTGGATTTCTCTGCTAATTAGTGTGGCCTTGGAACCAGTATAATTTTAATAATTTTATTATTATTGTATTATCATACTTTTATAACTATGTATAATTCTGAAATGATATTTTTTTTAAATAATTTTATCATTTTTTTCACCTCCCCCCTTCGCTGGGGGCTTCAAATCCCATAATGCCCCACTGCATCCCACACCCTGGCAGAGGCCCGGTACTGCTCCACGCGCCACCTAATGGACGAGCAGGGAGCGAGCATCTCTGTGACGAAGCGCTGCGCGGTCCTGGCAGACTGCCGCTCCCCTGGCTGTTCCGGCGCCGCCCGCCCCGGACACCAGGTACGGCAGTACCGGGACCCATGTCACGGTATCAGCAGAAACCCTCCGGAGCCATCTTTTAGCACGTTAGCGGTGGAATCGCTAACATCTTTGTCCTGACTTCCTCTCCCTTCCCACACCTGTTGCCCGGCCGCAGGTCTGCACTTCCTGTTGCGAGGGACACATCTGCAACATGCCGGTGCCGCTAAACGAAACCGAGGCCATTTTCAGCACCACCTCGCCGCTGAACCGCGCACAATGCACCTCGCGCCGGCCTGCGGCGGTCACCTGTTTCACCGCCGTCGCCTCGGCCCTCCTTTTAAGTCGCATCTAGGAAGCAAAGCCACAAGATGCAGCGGCTTAGCGGTCACATAACAGTATTACATTACGTTGTGTTTTTCTAAATCTCCTGACTGTTTAGCCCCGTCAGTGTGTGGTTCTAACTAGGTCACGCCCTAGTAGATTTTGGGTGCCAAACTAAGTACAGGTTGTGTTCTGTGTAACATACTGTATGTATATAGTGTATTTATTTTTGTACAGTATGCTAATGCTAGAGTTAAATTATGCTAGCAGTGCAAGTTAAAGCACTTAGCAACTGAGCACCTAACTCTGCTCCCCCCACTTTTTATACTTAAATGTATGTGTATTTACATGTGTTATTTGCATGTGTACAGGGGGTGCCGTGGGGTATGCAGAGCCCTCAGCCTGACCACAGGCCTGCAGCACTGTAGCTAAGAGCTGGCAGCCGATTTTTAGCTTATAATTGTATTTTCATATTTGCTGTGCAGACGTGTTGGGACCCCTGAAATGCAAGGGCCATAATGGGTTGGTGCCCCATCCTGGGTTGTTCCCTGCTTTGTGCCTGTAAGTTCCTGGATAGGCTCCAGACCCCCACCACTTAGTAAAGGACAAGTGGGATGGATGGATGGATGGATGGATGGAAGGAAGGAATGTGACAATTCTGCTTAGGCTATGTCTAAATTTGAAATCTGCAAAATCAGCCATGTTGGGGGCATCCTGTGTTACTGAAAGTGACTCTACATTACTATGGATAGTTATATGTGCATGTTAATCTACATTCGTTTGGTTATGTGTACAGTTACATGTATTGAACGGTTTCCTTGGCACAGCCCCAGCTGTGCTGGTGGGAGGATGTTGAAGACGGCGCGCCCTGTCACGCCGCTGCCCCCTGCGTTTTGGACTTTCCTTCCTTCCTGTGGTTGAAATGCAGATCTTGCTAAAAGTTGCCTGTTGTCTGTGTGGCCAGCCGCTTTGTTTAGGCTGGCAGCCCATAGATATGAAAATGCACTTATCTGTCATAATGCTAAGCCGATAGCCTTTTAGCCCCAGCTACTGTAAGTAAGCACCATCCACCAATCAAGAAACGGTGGGGGGGATGTTGCGTTTCACTCCTGCTGGCTGATTTCCAAACAGTAAGGGGGGTAACCAACCCAAGTTGTTTCACTCTCTCTCTTCTTTGCACAAGTTAATGCTGACCATCTGTTAAACCTTAGTACCCAGTATAAACCTGAATCTTGTTAAAATTAGAAGCAGGATTGTACCAAGCACTGCATTCTGTAAACATTACTGTACATATTGTACTGTAAATATTGCATGTCATGTATAAATATACATAAAATGGAATATTTGATTTGTCACATGTGATAAATGTTAATGCAGCACAAACTGAACACACATGATTTCGTTTTCATGTGTTAAGCCATAGAGATTGCTAATTTCCCAGGACCTGGGAGCAGAGAAAACGACGCCCCCCTCTGGCTGTGTGTGTCCTCATCCTTAAAGCCCATCAGTCACCGGTCCTTGGTGAAAACAGGAGTGTAGGTGGGGGCCGCACGGCGCGGGTGGCTCTGCGTGGGAATGTGCAGCGCTGGAGCGGATGTCACGCCTCTGTGGGTTTTTCTTCTATCCCTCAAATCCACTAACAAATTTCTGGTAAATTGGTTTTAAAAGCATAAGAAACAGTGCAGGCTCACGCCACAGAATTCTGGGAAAGATGCATTTAGCAAAAAAATGCAGCAGAGTTCGGTGGTTAACTGGGCCAAATTCAGATGGAAATGCTTTTCCATGGAAAACCGCAGATACTGCTGATGGGCCACAAAAAGCCCAAACACACACAGAGCCCAGGCTCTGCTGCTTTATCTGTGTTTTTACACCTTACCGGCTTCTGGTGGGGGGATAAGGAGTCTGACTCGAAGCCCACATCCCTGAAAATGAAAAAGTAAGGCTGTCATGATTGATCTTATTCCTGGTTCAATTTGTGGGAGTTTATGCAAAATTGCTGTGCTTTTAAGGCATATGTCACTAACGTAAGGCTGTACCATATGGCAGTCAAAGCTATTTAAGATTTTAACGCCTAAAAACAAAACCTTAACATTAAAAAGGGCCTCCTAACTTGGATTACTTGATGAATGAGCTTTTCTGAAGGATGGGGTGGTCAGGCTGATGCCCTAGAGGATGATGGGAAAAAGCACTGCTTGTCAATGCTGGTGCCTAGCACGCCTGGGAACAGGAAGCTGCTGAGGACTGTCAGGGAAGCAGACATTTCTCCTCAGAAGGCTGAGTAACACTGCATGGTATCCAAGGACCCTCACGGCACCCTGCTCACTGTTACCACAGCGATTAAAGTACCGAGGCCATCCACCATTTTTCACTCACCACTATTAAAATGTGCCCTTGGGACAATAATTACCTCGCTCTCTGCATTTCACAGTTTGAATAATTGCAGCTATTAAGCACAGTCTGGTGTTTTGTGCTTAAATAATGACTTCACAAACAGGGGGAGCAGAGTGTCACCAATGAAAGCAAAGGATTGTGGGAACACCAAGACAGCAACCACCACTTGGAAGCCGGCTGATACCAAGAGGATGACGAAAGTGCTAAATGCTCACAGAGAGGAAGGCGAGTGACAGCTCAGTGAAAGGAGGAAAACAGGGCGTAGTCTGGCACAAACCAGTGAGATCATGACAGAAAATGCTAATAACCGAATTAATGTGACAATGAAACACTGTTTACCTTGTTAAATGCACTCATTCACAGTAATTATGGGATTCTTAACATATACTGCGATCCTAAGTAGAAACATCACAGCTACAGTTATGGATACAAAAAACACCAAAAAAAAAAATCACATTTTTGGATACTGTACTAGACTCTACAAAACCCAGCCCAAGCTGACTAGAGGCCACAATAAGCCTTAGAATATTCTGTTCCATTGTGACAATTAAAAACTGGTGCATGATTTTACAAACTACAGACGCAATGTGACTTTCACTGGAGCCCTGCTCAAGGGTACAACAGCACAGACCATCAGGTGGTGAGGAGAGTCTGTTTATCTCTACACTCCCAGAGTGCTGGGAGTCAGAGCAGGGATTCCTGCCTTCATCTGGGGGAGCGACATGCATCCTGGGATGAATCGCAATCAGAGGATGCACACTCCCCGCTGAACCATGGGTCCTGTGCATAGATGACTGCCGCAACACAGGAAATGAGGTAGACAGGGTGTGGGAAGGGGGTTAGAAGTGGAAAAGCGGCTGACAAAGCGGCAGGAGACAGGCTGAAACCGGTGGCTTCCAAAAATAACACGGCGCGCAGTGGCCCAACCTACGAGCCATGATGGCGGGCCCTCCATCACAAACAGGAAGCCTCTGACAGCATGGGGCATACAGGTCATGTGAGACACACACCCAGCTCCTATTTACAGACACCAGGCCCCTCCTGACCCCCTCTAACCCCCGACCCGCTCTCCAGGCTCTGAGAGCCCAAATGGCCTTAAGGTGACGTAGAGCCGCTTGTGGAGGGCCGCTAGCGTGTTTGTCTTGGACGGGGCCATCAGACTCACTGATTACAGACGCCTAGATCGATGTTGAATCTTTGGGCGGTTGGCATCCCTTTAAACATCCCTCTTGGATGGCCTGCTCTCAGGCATCCTGAAATACAATGCTAACAGCCTGCCCTTTCTGAAAAACATCTAAACCACCTCTTAAAGACTCAGTGACCTGAGCAGCACAGCTCTGGAACTTTCTGGTTGGTTGTGTACTGTGGACGTGATTGGCGTACGCGTGGCTGGGAGAACGGAAAACTGAGCCGTTACTATGACAGTCTGCTTTGCTGAGCAAGACTGTAGAAAAATCCGATTAGTGAAGCTGACACACCTGAGAGCCAGATGGCTTCCTCGGCCACCACTACGCACCGAAACAGGCATCAGCAGAAAAATAAATTCACCATAACATTCAGACAGAACCACAGACAGGGGAACATCACCATCACAAAAGAGAAATCTAACAAAAACATATTTTCCGACCTTTATTTAATCAATAAACAAGCTGTAACAGTTTGTGAGATCCAGTGTTTCACAGTCACAAAAGACTGGGGTCTAATTTCTGAGGTTAAACATTTTTGTTTTATTACATTTGACAGGTATGGTATATCCTTAACAGTTCTAACACTTGACAAGTCAGAAGACAGGAATCCCCCCCTGACTGAGCTCAGTGGAACTGGCCATATCCTGAAGATGAGTGATACAGTTGAGTCTCAGGCAGGGGGCAGCCTTACCTTCAAAGTCCTCTCACTCATCCCTGGGGCCAAGGGAGGGTATTTTCTACCTATTGCACCATAGCTAAATCTACAGAGCAAAAGCTTCAGTCTTGATTCATTTTAAAACTAGGCGACCGTCCTGTACACACTTTCTGGTTGATTCCCACGGTCACCGTGCGAATCCCACGTGAGCACGGAGCTTGGTCCCGGCACACGGCAGCACACTGGCGCTCTAGCAGCCCTGCAGCCTCCTGATGATGACACTGTCCGGGGGGGCGCTGGTGAACACGGTGCCCACAAAGACGCGTGTCCCCCACAGGCTGTGCCGAATGACCTTGCAGCAGCCCAGGTCCTCGATCTGGAAGCCCAGGTGGCGATAGCGCTCGTCCGTCTCAAACAGCGTGTTGTTTGTGTACAAGCCAAAGTACTGTCCCAAAAAAAGAGAAACAGAGGTTCACAGCAGTCTCATGATGGACATGCCTGGGGAGTCTTTACCAGGTTACAAAAGCAGCATTCACTGCAATCAAATCCACATGCAGGAAAACATTCACGTTACTTATACGATGCTTTTATCTAATATGACATACATTTGAGAGAAGAGGGTCAGTCAGTCCCTGGAGCAACTGGGTGTTTAAGGGCCTCGCTCAGAGTACGTCACTCTGCTGACCCTGGGATAGAACCGGCAACCTCCTGATCACAGGCACAGCATCCCAACCTGCTGAGCTACACAACTCCCCCAAAGAGCTGGAGAACACGGTCATCCATACTGCTACCTGCCCTGCTATGTGAGCTCCACCATTTGAACCAATTCCTAAGCAGTGTAAATTTTTGCAGCATATTTTGGGTCATTTCATATCAAATCACCCAAAGGTTCCCAGGTCACCCTCTTTTTTTGCTGAAAAAATATTCACTGGTGCTCCTATAGCAAACTTAAGGAGAAATCCCAAATATTAGGCCTGTATCTCTAGTTTTGAAACTACAGCCCTGTGAAATGCGCGTTTTGCTGAACAAGCCTCTTGGTCCAAATTCCATATTCATAGCTCCTTAAATATGACATGACTAGGGCTGCCTGTCGAATTCATAAATGTAATCAGATCAGCTGCATCTTGTGTACTTTTTTCCATACAAGGCTGTTAAAATGGCCAAAAATTCAAAATGACGTCTCTTTTGTGAACTTCTCACTCAAACAGTATGCTAGATAAAGCCCTCAATTTTCCCCCTGTCATTTATGACATTTTAGGCCATGTGTATGCAGTAACCATACATACTCAGTGAAAAGTTAAGCACCCAGGAGTAATGGTCCGATTTGGATGTAATTTGGTACACGTGCAGACCAGCGATGGGTATGTAAATGATTCAATTTGCAAGGACCTGGCACGTCTAGTCACCAGACAGAAGATGCCTCGTAAACGCATTAGATAGCATTACCAGCACATTACCAGGAGTTTGATAGGGGACGCACTGTGGGTTTGCATGAAGCCGGATGGTTGTATCGTGCAATTCCCTGACATGTGAGGCATGCAGATGTCACAGTCACCCGATGTTGGAATCAATGGGCACATGAGGGCACCCACACACGTCGTGAAGGTTCTAGTCACCCAAGACAGACCACACCAAGGCAGGGTTGTCATATTGTGTGCCAAGAATTACAGTACCTACAGCATCATGATGAGGTCCTCCCATGGCCAGCCAGGTGCCCTGATCTTTCCCCAATCAAACATGTGTGGGATCAGCCCGGACGTCAACTCAGACCCAGTGTCAATCTGCAGGATCTCAAGGGCCAGTTACAACAGCTGTGGGCCGACTTGCGAACTGTTGCTTTTGTTTGTTCCATAGTGTAAAAATTTTAAGTGCGGCTCCACCGGTTCCAGGCTGTGACTATTTAGCCACATTTCACGACCATTTTTGGAGACAGTGCCACCGCTTCTTAGCGGGATAATGTTACATTGTTTATATTCTGTGGAAAATGAAAGATCAATCTGCTGGACAGATTTATATCTGAATTATAAACATGTTGTGGGTCATATAAGTAAAACATAAATAAAAGGCTGAGTCCTGTGATCGATCCCCCCAGTATCTAACCAATATGTAACAAAAGACTTATTTAAATAAAAGATTTGTGCTGTAATGATTAATG